AATGTTTTATCCAGCCTCTGTTGCATTCCTTCTGAGAGAATCGCACATCATTAAAATGAAATTAGCCCAGCTGCAACATCTTGCAGATTCAAAGGGATTTATTCTACCCAGAGAGGGGGGGCTAGGATGGGGAGAGAAGCACTATTAAAATAGCTGACCCCATGACTGGTTTGAAGAAGTTGAAGTCGCTTCTCAAATGATTTTGGAGATTCAAAGCAATTATTTTTTTAAAAAAAAATAGCCACTGTTGAAGTGTTGTGCTTATGGCAGACTTTCTCATAAGGATGGAATACAATTCAGAGTACCACTCAACATAAGAGACCTGAATGCAGTTTCTAATTCAGCCAGGGGCACCCTCAAGACCATTTCATACATTGCAATTTTCTGACACTGAGGTCACCTCTTGGTAACAGTGCACAAATTCTCTCATATTTGGACATGGATTGCTTATTCAAAACAAGAGAACACTGCTGATCAAATTAGAGCAAGCCTAGAAATCAGAAGATGTTTCCTTCATGGGAGGAGAGCAATGACCAATCTCGATAAAATAGTGACCAGTAGAGACATCACACTGGCAACAAAGATCTGCATAGTCAAAGCAATGGTATTCCCCATAGCAACCTATGGATGTGAGAACTGGACCATTAGGAAGATTGAGCGAAGGAAGATAGATGCTTTTGAACTATGGTGTTGGAGGAAAATTCTGAGAGTGCCTTGGACTGCAAGAAGATCCAACTAGTTCATACTTCAGGAAATAGCCCAACTGCTCATTGGAGGGAAGGATATTAGAGGCAAAGATGAAATACTTTGGCCACATCATGAGAAGACAGGAAAGCTTGGAGAAGGCAATGATGCTGGGGAAAATGGAAGGAAAAAGAAAGAGGGGCCAACCAAGGGCAAGATGGATGGATGGTATCCTTGAAGTAACTGGCTTGACTCTGAAGGAGCTGGGGGTTGCGACAGCCGACAGGGAGTTCTGGCGTGGGTTGGTCCATGAGGTCATGAAGAGTCGGAAACGTCTGAATGAAAAGAATAACAACAGAAAGGAGGAAGGTGAGTCTCTCTCCTCAAAGAAAGCCCTGCCTGTAAGCAACAGACACCTGCAATTTATTTCTCGGCATCTCCAGTTTCCCAATATAAGAACTTGCAAAAGGGTCTTTGCTGGATGGAAGAGTGGCTTTTCTGGGATTTCTAGTTCTAAAGTTAATTTTCTCAGCCTGTGCTCTATACACAAAAGATTCACCTCTTGGTATTGGACTCCACCTGGACCTCTCTCCAAGGAAGCTGATAAAGGAAGCCTTTTTGCTGTACAGTAAGACACATGGCACTCACCTTGCAGTAAATGGTCTACACCTGCCCATCAATCACTACTACCAAGAGATTGGTTCCTACTAAGAGAAAGTGTCGGTAGAATTTTCTCCTCCAGAGCAAATGATGAATGAAAGCTGCTTCTTGATAGAGCTATTTTAATCACCCATGTTGTGTAGTGGTTTGAGAGTTAAACTGGGACTCTGGAGACCAGGGTTCAAATTCCAACTTGGCTATGGAAACCCACTGGATCATATTGGACAAGCCACATTCTTTCAGCCTCAAAGGCAACCATGACTGAACAAATCCTGCTAAGAAAACTTCATGATCAGTTTGCCTGGGATCACCATAAGTCAGAAATGTCCTGAAGGCACACAACAACAACAACAACAACAACAACAACAACAACAACAACAACAACAACAACAACAGCTATGCTGAAAAAAAGCAAGGAAAGGTTGTTAGTCAATTGTGAAGCTATGCATCTAGGTCAGGCATGGGCCAACCTCAGCCCTCTAGGTGTTTTGGACTGTTCGAAATGGTGGGAGTTGAAGTCCAAAATATCTGGAAGGCTCAAGTTTGCCCATGCCTGATCTAAGTACTGGCAAGTGTGTTTCAGTGCGCTTCAGATATACATTGGGTTCTTCTAGTGTAGTGGTGGGTCCCCAGATGTTTTGGGCCACAACTCCCAGAAATCCTATTCAGTTTGCCAGCTGTAAGGATTTCTGGGTGTTGAAGGCCAAAACATTTGGGGACCCACAGGTTGAGAAACACTGTTCTAGTGTGTGCATGAAACAAAAGGAGATAGAAAGTAGTTAATGTATTTAGATAATGGCTCCATAAGAGACCCAGAGACAGAAACTATAAGTCTCTCAGGTGGAAAAAACCTTTTCTTTTTTTTTTTGTATCCTAAAAAAAGAAGCCCTCTTGTATCAATTCATCTTTACAGAACTTAGTAACTATTTAAGTTTTTTCTCATTGAAGTATTCACCTTCTCCTCCCCCTCCCAACACACATACAAACATGCCTTATTTTTCAAATAATGCAATCGTTGAACTATGAAAAACAACTGCACATTGTTTTCTTTCACTTAACATTGTAGTTTACTGTCAAAGAAACTGCCTGGTGTTTACATTTCTTTTTTAAAAAATCCCTTACATTTATTTATTTTATTTTATTTTAGAAAGCCAGCTTGTCTCACATTGTCTGCCACAAAGCAGTGTGCAACAGTGATAACAATGGCATCCATAATGCTGTCATAAAATTCATTTCAAAGCCACACAGAAAGCAATCAAAACACCAAACAGCTGCTATTAATTTAAAACAAAGTCCCCCAGATCTGTCAAACAGTAGAACCATTGTGAGATTCATGATGATGGCAGAGTTGCCCAGCAATGCCTTCTTTGAAAGAGAATTAAACCATCTTGCTACAAAATGAACACCACAAACTGGAGAAAATGACTTTCTTGGGAAAACTATCCTAAAGGACAATTTTACCATCCACAAAGTTTGCTTTCCACTCCAACACATCAAACTAGTGTGAGAAAAGCTCTGGACCACATCACATTAGAGAATGCATCTACCTTAAATCTGGTTGCTGCTTCCTGCAGAATTCTGGGGTTTGTAGTTTAGGGAGGAGCCTTTAACAGCCTCACTAAACTACAAACACCAGAATTCTGCAAGAGGCAGAACCTGGATTTAAAGTGGATTCATTCTCTAATGTGATGAAGAGAAGACCGCTATTAGCCAGAATGAGGCATAGCTACCCAGCATAAGAATGTGGAAACCTGTCTCATACAGACTGAGCATTGGTCCTTGTAGTGGATTACTGTGAGTTTTCCCTGCTGTATGGCCATGTTCCAGAAGCATTCTCTCCAGAAGTTTCATCCACATCTATGGCAAAGATCCTCAGAGGTTGTGGAACATGGCCATACATTCTGGAAAACTCATAGCAACCCAGTGATTCCGGCCATGAAAGCCTTTGACAACACATTAGTCCATGTAGTAATAATAATAATAATAATAATAATAATAATAATAATCTTTATTTATACCCCGCCACCATCTCCCCAATGGGGACTCGGGGCGGCTTACATGAGGCCAAGCCCAAACAACAAATTACAGCAAATAAAACTGAAAACGCAAACCGAAAACGCAGACAATAAACAACAACATCATAATTACATAAAACATGTGAATGCATAGCAATATAAAATTACATTAAACACAATCACAGTGACAATGGGTGGGCTACATGTAATGATTAAAAGAAAAAACTAATTAAAAACTCGGGTGAGATAAAGGAGAAGCAGGTTATTTGCGGAGGAGGGCTCATTATAGCGGGGGTTGTAGAATCAAGCTTTCCCAACTCTGAGTGGAAGCAGTGACTGTCCCAAACTTCAGGCAGGATATATTACTAGCCCTACACAGAAAGCTTCTAGTATTTGCTTGTAGACTCCCATCAACGTACAAAGCCATGCTTGATCCAACTTAACTTTCGCAATCAGATAGGATTGGATGCACTGAGGATGACATGGTGACCAAGGGCTTCCCTAAGATGTTGTTGTTCATTGCTGCCATTGCTGCCATTGCCTTATGTGCAGGCCTTGCTTGAGTCTGTTCATAAGTAATGTGATCTTCCTCTTTGCCCAATGCCTTTTACTTAACCCAGCTTTATTGTCTTTTATAATAAATCATATTGTCACATGCTACATCCAAATATGATAGCCTCTGTTTAGTGTTTTTTTTTTTGTCTTCTAAAGAGAGTTCTGGGTTGATTTGTTCTAGGAGCCATTCATTTTTTCTTTTTGACAATCCATGGTATCCATAGATCTCTCCTCCAGCATCATTATTTCAATTTAACCAGTTGTCTTCACTGGCAAACACACAATGATTCACAGTGTCAATATTCTGCAGAAGAGTAGTTCAGCCTTTGTGTAACTGTGTGTGTAGATTTACCCTACATATGTGCAATGTTAGACCTCAACCATTATTTTCCAGTCCACCTCCCCAGACAAGCAATTTTTTTGCCATTTATTCACAGTGAAGGCTCTGTCAAATCCAGGGTAGGCAACCTGATACTCTCCAAGTGTGTTAGATTACAACTACCATAACTCAAGGTCATCAGCCATGCTAGCTGCCCCTGGTGGGAGCTGTAGTTCGAAAGATCGTTGGTAGTAAGTTGCCACCATAATCAATTAATAACTTACCTTAAAAAAAATAACTATCAGCTAGTATATTCTGTTCTTCTGGCACATGAAAGTAATTATTCCCATTTCAGAATGTATCCTGTGATGCGTTGAAAATTAGGAGGCATTTAATTTATTCTTATTTCGTTCATAACAGTCATTTTTATTAAGCCAAATTCAAGGGTTACAGAAACTGTAAATAGTTCCCCAACGTGAATACCATCACAGTGTGCATTTCAACTGAACAAAATAAGAATAAATTAAATACCTCCTAATTTTCAACGCATCACAGGACACGTATGTGCTGTTAACACAGGAGGTGATATTGGTTTCCCCCATTTGTTCTCATTTTTGTGCCTCCAGTCTCAGCAATTTGGCTTCTAATATAATCCATCATCTACAGAGAGAAAGATGGGACACTTTTAGTGCCTCCGTTTGGGTTTTCTAAAAAATTAGTCCAATGGAAAGCTTTCAATTGTGTCTCTCCCTTTGTTTGTTTTGCAGCTATGGTTTTACTGTTTGTAGTATGGATGAAACGCAGGGAAAAGGAGAGGCACACAAAACAGCTCCTCATTGATCCAGAGGATGATGTGCGTGACAATATTCTGAAATACGATGAGGAAGGAGGTGGAGAAGAAGACCAGGTGAGTAGATTGTCTTCATCAGGGAACCAACACATGGGCCAGCTTTCAATGTGTTCACTTACAACATAGACATTCCAAATGCTCAACCACCATAATTACTTAGGTATTGCACTAGAATATCAGTCACAATGCTAGAACTGGATGTAATACAGCCATTAGGCAGAGCTGGCAGTAATAAGTGACAGATGCAGGGGGAGGAAAGGGGGCATAGAGCATTGGCAGGGCATTAGAGGACCATGCTGTGTGTTCCATGCAGCCTTGGCATTATCCAGTCACTTAACCTGCTGTTCTTGGGTACAGTGGAGGTTCTTCTCTCCCCAGTGTTGAAATAATATTCAGCTGCCAATCCAACCAGCATCTGTATATATAGAATGAATGGGAGAAACTATCTTGCCCTTTGTGTCAGGCAACAAATGTCTTGGACTGACTCTGGATTTGATTCTGAAACTTGAGTTCTTTTTGGTGCTTGGAGATGGTTCTTTGCTGGATTCTAGAGTTCAGTGGTCAGAACCCTAACAAATGTCACATCCAGCCCAGAAAAACAAGATTGATAATTGGCTTGTTCAAGGATCTCTGTACTCGAACATATCTCAAACATTGTTGCAGTCTTCCCAATATAAATAGTGATCAGCCTAGAGATAAAGAGGATAGATGGGAGGAACTATTTATGGCATGCAGAAAAGTAATGGTTCTGGCCCCGTTTATCTGTCCAAACATATCTCGCTCTACAAACCACCTAGGACATTAAGATCATCGGGGAAGGCCCAGCTCTCAGTCCCTCCACCATTGCAATCTTGAGAACGAGAGACAGGGCCTTCTGCATGTTAGCACCTCGGCTATGGAATTCCCTCCCAAAGGAGATCAGATCTGCTCTATCACTCCTGACCTTCCAGAAAAAAAGTGAAATCCTGGCTGTTGAATCAAGCATTTGCAGATTAGACTGACTTGCTGGCAAAGATACATTTTAATGGACTATGATGGACTGCTTTTAGGATGACGACTTAAATCGGCGAACTGTTTTAATGTTTTTATATTGTTTTATTATAATATGTATATTTATGCTTGTTTTACTCTGTTGTTGGCACTGTGCTGTGCTGGTTGGTAGCCGCCCTGAGTCCCTCTGTGGAGGTTGAGATAGGACGGGATACAAATGCCCTAAATAAATAAATAACTATAGTCATCTACAGATCCTGAGAACTGTGATGTTCTAATCTCATGCCACTCCTGTCTCCACATAGACCGAGTAAGACATGGCAATTCAGATTTTGGAGCTTATCACCCAAGGCAGGCAAATTGTAATTACAGCAGGACAACAGTATCTTTGGCTGAGACTTATCACATGATGTTGCTCCTCTCTCACTACTTTCCCAGTGGGAAGCAGCCTATAATGTGTTTCTGTTACACATAATTTGTTAATGACTCCTTTTAAAAAACAAAATTCCTCTAATAACAACAGAAGAATGATGATGACGCTATGTGATAAGACCCACTGTTATACTGCTTTAATTGCAGTCCATCCACCTCATGTTATAAGGTCCTTAGTTTGGAATCTAGATTTGCTATATTCACATTTCCATGAGTATCGTTGTTCTAACTCAATCATCCGTCAACTCTTTGGAAATTTACTGAGTTCTGCAGCACATAAGGTGGGCATTATTTCTTCTCCTCGCACATGAGATGAAAAATTTCTAATGGAATAGAAACAATGCTGGGTTGACCCAGTTCCCAAATATACCCTGTAGGAATTCCTCCCGTCAAATGACCAAGAGCATACGATTCACATATGTTTAAGCAGGTGCTACATAGTGAGATGGTTCTGCTTCAGTTCCAGTTGAACTGGAGCCAGTGAGATTATTTATTTGCCCCAGTAGCCTAGAGTCACTTGAAGATTTCAGTGATAAGCTTCCTGAGCCTCATTCTCTGCTTCTCCATTTATTACAGGATTATGATTTAAGCCAACTGCAGCAGCCAGAGAACATGGATCATGTTATGAACAAAGCAAATGGAGTCCGACGAGTAGATGAGCGACCTATTGGCGCTGAGCCCCAGTATCCTATAAGACCTGTAATCCCCCATCCTGGGGACATTGGGGATTTTATTAATGAGGTATGTTCTTGTGAGCTACCTTACATCGCTGCTGCAGGCTCAGATAGCCAGAAAGGGCGACTGCAAAGCTTAGAAACATTGCTTTTTTGGACCATTTCTCCCAAATTCCCTGGCCAGGATGGCCTCTGGCCACATTGCCTGGAGGATTCTGGCAGTTGCAGTCCACGAAAGTAATTTTCCCAAGCTCTGTACCCCTGCTGCTGGTAATATGCACAAAGTATAAAAGAGTTAGACAAATAGATAGGCAGGCAGGCAACCAGAGAGACAGACAGATAAATATGAACTGTCAGTTCTTGCCAAAGGAATAGTCATACCTTGATGGATTTTAACATTAGATGTGTATCTTCCTCTTCTCCCTAAAACTTATTCAATTAAGTATGGATCCACCGAATGGAAATAGTAGTTATATACATCCAAATCAAACTGAGGTCTGTATTGCTCATGTATTCGCTGCCCGCACTACATAATAAACATCCTTTGAATTGTAGACAGATTTCAGAAATTGTTTTCAGTATGATATAGAGTCTTCAGCTTTACACCATGGTGTGTTTCAGGAGATCTAATTAACTATGCATTGGACTTTTAAACCCAATGCAGACCCTAGAGCTTGTCCTAGGATTGTAGCTTAGCACAAGCCCTAATACAGGCCTATATTGAGAGCCACGCTGGGGAACTATATTCTTGTAGTGTAGTCCAGCCTTTCAAAATGTTGCAGTGCTTTGCTTCTTTATACTCTTATATATTCCGTCCACATCATGTATTGGCTGCCTTTCCAACAGTTTGCCCAAGGCAAATCAAGTGTAACGTTTACAAAGGAAACAACCAATACAATCAAAATTTAATAACAGCACATTTAAACCCTATAAGTGACATAAGTGGCAGCCAGCAAAAAGAGCAATCGACTGCTTCGTCTAGCAGTGAGCCAGCTGTGAAAGAGGCCGTATGTATAGGGTAAAAGGCATGCTTCCAGTGGGTCCCGTGAAAAAAGCCGTCTGAGTAATTGTAGTAATATGATAAACCTTGTTAGTGCTGACAGAATTTTCCAAAGACTTATGTCCACTTATGACCACATTAAGTCCCCAAGTGAAATTATGTCCCAGGATTTTAAGTAAAAAAATATAATTAACAATATAGCTAAATCAGCAGTGGAAGTAGTGAGAAGAATGTGAATAATAGGAGACCAAGATTCAACATGTTGCGCCCACAGCTATGCAGATTTCCCAGCCTCCCTGTTTGTATTTCAGCCATGCTTGCAAAGAATGAAGTCCCTGTGCAGTTCTCAGAACTGCGCATTTAATATTTTCCTTTAATTTGTCGACTTGATCCTTTTGCTATTGAAAAGTGAGATGGCATGTTTGCAAACCAATCGATGTGTTATTTCCTTGGAGGCAAAAATGTGATCCATTTCATAAGGCTGGTACATAAATGTGGGAGCAATTTAATTTTGTTATTGTATCTATTTCCTGCTCTGGAGACTTTTTTCCACCCTCAGTTTTTAATCAGTAAACACTCTTACTTTCTGCCCACTACATTACATACAAATGCCATTTGCAAACTTCTGGAGCCCACATTAGGCGCCTTCCGTTCTTTCTCACGCTGCACATTTTTCATTCTGGACAGGAGACTCTCATCTTGATCAAAATGATGGCTTTTGGTAGTTCTTTCATATGACAAGAATATACAAAACAAATGCATGGAAAAGGCAACAAAGCAATGGCCTCTATATCAGCAAGACAGTGCTAAATCTGTTCCAGGATTTAGTCTGAACTAGGCTTGTGCACAGGCTTTGGCCAGTTCCCTTTGGCTAATCTGGCTGGTTCAGCTTGTTCGGATGGCCGTAATGGCAAGGGCTCAGCCTCCATGTTTTTTTTCTGGCCACAACAGAACAGTGGCTGTCAAAAACTGATGGACTTCAGTTACAAGTGGAGTGAGGGAGGGAGGCAGCCACTAGGAGAGAAAACGTGAGGGGGGAAAAGCACCACTCCAGTGCCTGCAAATCAAGAGAAAAGAGAGGGCTTGTTAAAGGCAGCCCAGGGAAGGATAGTTTCAGGTCAATCTCTCTTCCTTCCCTGGGAAGTGGGGAGGCCTCCTTAAAATGCCTTGGAAAACTGCATGCTGCAGGGAGAGAGTGCTGTGTGCATGCCTGTCTCCTTTAGCATATAGTAATGCTTTAATGAATGCTTTAACAAAGCATTAAACCTGGTTTCCTCTACAGACAGAAGGGAAAGGATGCCAGGAAGTGAGGTTTCTTAAACTCTATTAAACTCAGGTCTCCTCTACAGTCAGAAGGAAAAGGATCCCAGGAAGCGAGGTTTCTTAAATCATTTATTAAACCCAGGTCTCCTCTACAGACAGAAGGGAAAGGATTTCAGAAAGAGTAGTAACTCCAATGCTTTTAATGAAGGATATAAGGACAAACCATGCCTAAAATGACAAGAGGGAGAGCCTGGGAAGTTCCCCCCTCCCGCCCCATAATGGGCCTAATAGAGAATGAATCTTTTGGCTTCCCAGACTGAAAATTCCTTCCAAATTTGGGAGGCTCCTGAAAAAATGGATCAAGACCCCCACTGAAATCTGGGACACCGAAACAGGTCATGCTTTACTCGGACTAGCACAAGTCTGGTCTGAACATCAAGGGAGGTATTCAAGAGACTGAATCATATCCCCAAAATAGGTTCAACATCTTGGATAAAGTTAAAAGTGAAACCCACAAGTGAAATGGAAGCCTCTAGCCCAGTGGTTCTCAACCTGTGGGTCCCCAGATGTTTTGGCCTTCAACTCCCATTAATCCTAACAGCTGGTAAACTGGCTGGGATTTCTGTGAGTTGTAGGCCAAAATACCCATGGAGCCACAGGTTGAGAACCACTGCTCCAGCCACTTCTAAAAGAAAGACTACCCTTGATGACCAAATCCTGAGCTTCCGTACAAGAAAGGCTGTCAAAGAGAGGAAGAAGTAGACCAGGTCTTACGCTTTGAAGTTACAGCAGAGTAAATTTTGATTGATCATTAGAAGGAAATCCTTAATTGGGAGAGTAGTTCAACAATAGAACCAATTGCTTAAAGAGATGGTGTGGTTTCATCTGGAAGTTTTCAAAACACATCTGGACAGATAACTGTTGGAGATAATTTAGCTGGAGGTTCTGCCCGGAGCAGAATGTTGGGCTTTATGGCCCATGAGACTCCATCCAGCCCTATTTTTCTAGGATCCCTTGAAGGAGAGAGGTAGGCTAGGTGGTGACCTTAGAATGGGCAGGAAAGACCTAGTCAGGAGGGTCAGGATAGATTTCCTTATATTTAATCGGGAACCCCTTTCTTGTAACTTGAATCCATTGAATTGTGACCTTTCATGTGGAGCAACAGGAAACCAGAAAACCATCTCTACCATTTAATATGTCATATTCCCTGTAATTAAATATCACCATCACATTGCAAAAAAAGAATAAGGCTGTATTGTCAAAGGCTTTCATAGCCAGAATCACTAGGTTGTTGTAGGTTTTTCGAGCTGTATGGCCATGTTCTAGAACAGTGGTTCTCAACCTGGGGTCCCCAGATGTTTTTAGTCTCCAAATCCCATAAATCCTGATAGCTGGTAAACTGGCTGGGATTTCTGGGAGTTGTAGGCCAAAAACATCTGGGGACCCCAGGTTGAGAACCACTGTTCTAGAAGCATTCTCTCCTGACGTTTCACCTGTTCTAGAAGCATTCTCTCCCGACGTTTCCACAATCTCTGAGGATGCCTGCCACAGATAAATGTGAAATGTCAGGAGATAATGCTTCTAGAACATGGCCATGCAGCCTGAAAAGCTTACAACAACCCAAGAATGAGACTATCTCTCATTAAATTACATTCAGTTATTCCTTTTCTTATTAGGGAAAAAGACTCATTTGCAACTCTTTGTAACTAGTTGCATTTAGATTCTGTTTGAGATGGAAAGAGTTTGAGATTAAAAACATTTGAATGGGGTGTGAAATGAAACTGACAGATCCACGCCCTGAAGCTTGAAAGCCTGACTCTTTAACATTCTAGTTTTCAATCTCTGTATCAAGCCATGTTTGTGAGGATGTATTAGAGTAATCACCTGTTTTTTTCCCCCTGAGATGTGTCTCGTCTTCAATAACTATACATCAATCAGGAACAGCATAGCTCTCTTCACTGACTACGTATTAAATTTAGCTGGTGAAAATATGAGAGAACATCATTTCAATTTGTTTTTGAAGATCTGACCAAAGTTCACACATTTCTTCAATTACAGACAGTAAAAACTCAAGGTTTAAAAAATGGAAGAAAGAGAAAATGGCAGATTTTTCTCTATCTAGCAGATGTCAATACAGTTTCCCCAAACATTTTGTTCCTAGATAGAGGTGGGGCGGTAATGAATCAAAATAACTGAGCTACCTTGTTTAAGCAAGGTCTTAAAAGAGTAATAAAATTTAAATATAATGAATGGAATATTTTGGTTGAACAATTACACAAGGGTTGTATTTAAAATCAGTTGTAGAGGATTTTTGACAGGACCTATTCTGTATTTTATATGATTCTCCCCTAAAGAATACGTGATATTTTAAGGATGAGTGAACAGCATGGATGGAGCCAAAGGATGGAAGCGATTAAGCATATCCATGGGAAAACATAATGGCATAGCTTCTTAGATATCGTGCATTAAGAACAGCCTTTCCCAAACTGGCATTTGTCAGATTAGTTGGACTACAAATCCCTCCATCCCCAGCCAACTTTTGAATTGTGTGACTCACTCTTTGCCACTATTATTTGCTCTGAATTCATCTTCAGGGTGAAAACCCTGGTGGTACAATGGGTTATACCCTTGGGCCGGCAGGACTGCTGACCAAGAGGTCAGCAGTTTGAATCTGAGGAGCAGGGTGAGCTCCCATCTGTCAGCTGCAGCTTCTCATGCGGGGACATGAGAGAAGCCTCCCACAGGATGATAACACATCTGGCCATCCCCTGGGCAATGTTCTTGCAGACAGCCAATTCCCTCACACCAGAAATGACTTGCAGTTTCTCAAGTCGCACCTGACACAGGTATGAAAACCCAATGGATGGTAGACCCCAAGATCTCTGGCCATTAGGATGCTTTCTCAGCTCTTGCAGATTTGAGGTTGTGACTTCCTTGGTTGGGTTTATCCATCTGTTAATAGGGTCTCCTATTCCTATTCCTTCAACTTTACTGGATCGTGTCCTTTCCCATGAGTCTTGTCATCTCATGATATGCCCAAAACACAATGAGCATGGTAATCTTTACTTCTGTGAAAGTTCAGGAATGATTCACTCTTAGACCCAATTCTCTGTTTCTTTTAGCAGTCCATGTTATCAATAGAATTCTCCTCTTCTGGCAGCACATTTCAAAGAAGTTTATTTGTCTTCACTATCTTTATACATAAACCAATACACAGATCTCAGAAATACTAGGGCATAGATGATTCTGGATTGGAATTTAATGTATTCTTAGTTTCCATGATGTACTAACACACCCCTAAGGTATGCATTCACAAGAGTGCATGGTATTCATACACATCTCAAAGTGCCATGTTAGATATATATTCCCAAAAGAGCATTTTTGAAGAAACTAACAAAACATATTCTAGTCTTACAGACTACATCCCATTTCCTCCATCAATACTGCAGCAATGTTAATGATTGCCATAGTAACAACTTTTTACTGTTCAAGGTTAAGATAAACAGGTTAGCTTTTTAACTCATGAATGGTTAATGACATGTGTTAGTTCTTTTCTATCACATTGTAGTTTGTGATTTTAAAGGAGATCTGCACAACATCAGTTTTTACACTACTTTAATTGTGATGGCTCCATCCTAAGGCATTCCAGGATTTGTGATTTAGTGAGAGGATTAGAAGGTGCATTGTAAAGAAAGGAATTGAGGATTAATGTGTGTAGTGTAGACATTTAAGAGACCCCAGTGGCGCAATGGGTTAAACCCTTGTCAGGACTGCTGACCAAAAGGTCGGTGGTACAAATCCGGGAAGCGGGATGAGCTCTCATCTGTGAGCTCCAGTTTCTCATGTGGGGACATGAAAGAAGCCTTCCACAGGGTGGGAAAACATCTGGGCACCCCCTGGGCAACGTCCTTGCAGATGGCCAATTCTCTCACACCCAAAGCGACTTACAGTTTCTCAAGTTGTGCCTGACACACATAGTGCACCTTGAAAATTGTAGTTCAGGTGGTGAACTATATCTACCTGTGCACAAATACATACAGAAACATACACATAGAAGCAAAACCGATATGCATTTACTTGATTTATTTTTCCTGTGATTTCTGGTTCAATTTTAATACCATCTTACTAATACATTACATTATATTGTATGTAGCTACAACTGTGTGAACAATACTACACATGAGGCATGCTTGTTTCCTTGAAGGAAACTTCTACTATTATGATTCATAGGACACAGTGCAGCCTTATTTATTTATTTATTTATTTATTTATTTATGTACGACATTTATATGCTGTCCTTCTCACCCCAAAGGGGATTTAATTGGGATCAACAGTCTTTAGTCCTGGAAAAAGAGAAGCTTGGGATCTCTCAAGGGCCTCACAAAACTTCTGGTGTTGGAATTGCATAGAATAATATATACATCTGTAGGAAAGAGACATGGCAGCTATAATAATAATATTTCTAGCTTCTAGAACATGGCCATATAGCCTGTCAATTTTGCAATCCCAGACAACACCAGGATTGAAGAGAAACAACTGGAAAACCTGACACAATATGAGGATTTAAAGTTTGAACTGAAAAGACTCTGGCACAAGCCAGTCAAGATGATCCCAGTGGTGATCGGCACGCTGGGTGCAGTGCCTAAAGACCTTGGCCTGCACTTAAACACAATTGGCACTGACAAAATTACCATCTGTTAGCTGCAAAAGGCCACCCTACTGGGATCTGCACGCATTATTCGCCGATATATCACACAGTCCTAGACACTTGGGAAGTGTCCAATGTGTGATCAAATACAACAGCCAGCAGAGTGATCTTGTTTGCTGTGGACTCATCATCTTGTGTTTCTAATAATAATAATAATAATAATAATAATAATAATAATAATAACAACAACAACAACAACTTTATTCTTATACCCCACCACATCTCCCTGAAGGGACTTGGGACAGCTTACATATGGGGTGAAATGTCCACAAGACATAAATATAACAATCCATTAAAACACAAACAATTAAGATAAGAGCATAGTAAAATCTAACAATTCAGATAAAAGCACAATAACAAAATCAGTAGCTGGTAATACAGTGGGTGTGACCAGGCTATATAAGAGGGCCAGGCATGGGATAGTGCAAACAGCGTATCATAACTATGTTTTGACCATAAGCTTATGCAGTTTTGCCTCGATAACTAGAGACAAGATAACCCATTTCCGCTTTGATGTTTCAGGGCTTGAGAGCAGCAGATAACGACCCCACAGCTCCTCCTTATGATTCCCTTCTTGTCTTCGACTACGAAGGAAGCGGTTCGACAGCAGGGTCCGTCAGCTCACTCAATTCCTCGAGCTCCGGAGACCAAGACTACGACTACCTGAACGACTGGGGGCCAAGGTTCAAGAAACTGGCGGACATGTACGGGGGCGGCGAGGATGATTAAACTGACCTCACATTATTGTTTTGCAAAAGAGGAAAGCTATAGCATTAGAAGAAGTTGTTGATGATGATGATGATGAAAAAGAAGAAGAAAAGAAACCCAACAAGGAAAAGGAAAGACAAAAGGAATGAAAAAAAGGGAGAAGATGGAGAAGAACCAAGAACTGTACAGAAGTGGCAGCTTTTTAAAATTAATATCCTCTGCTGACTGTGTTCCTTTTAGTGGTGATTTAGAAAGTTTCTTTTTCTGTTATTTTCTTTCTTTCCTGTTCTCTTTCTCTCTCTTTTTTTTTAAAGGAACTTCGAGCTGTCTCGCATGAACACTCGTCTCTGCTGCATTTGTGGGTTTTTTTTAATTGTTTTTCCCCCTCGTGTCAGCAGGGATACTGCTTGTTCTATCCACTTTATGACTATAAAGGGAGTGAAAGGCACTCTGTCTTAACTTGAATTTCTTAGAACAGAAGCACTGTTTTTAAAATATATATATAGATATATATATTTGAAAGTGCCTTTTGGTACATGTATCAGATTCCCTCAATCTCAGGAGTGTTCAAAAGAAACAAACAGAAATTTACGTTTCCACCATCTTGGACACCACACTCTATGACCCTAAGCCAGTGCTAGCTGGGGAAGTATTAACAAAAAAAAACAGGAACTACGGAATGGTTTCTCCAATGGGCCTTAGAATAAATTACAAAAAGTGGGAGAGGTATTTCTGGGTGGGGGGAAAACTGAAGAAACTAGATGCTTAGCATACAACAACAGTTGCTAAACTGTTATCTTTTGGCCTAATCAAATGGTGAACTGAGTGCACCTGTTGTATATACAATTCATTGTTTATCCGATGCAAAATATTTGCCTGGGTTTTCTCTTGTGACCTACGTCACATGTGATGTAGCTGCATAGAAATATAGCATTGGTAAGCCTTTGGTGACTACAATACAGGAAGACCTTGCGTATGCCCTACAGGAAATGAAGACAAGACCAAAGGCCACTTGTGTGTGAGAGTTGTCTTTCTTTTCTTTTCTTTCTTCTTTCTTTCTTTCTTTCTTTCTTTCCCCTCCACCTGCTGAGTTCTGTCCGTCATGGTTCTGTGTTTCTATGAAACGTTCATTGTGATGAATTTTGAATGTGAAATTCTGACTGAAGATTGGGAATGCAGCACTTGGGCATTTGAAGAAATGGTTTCAGCAAAGCTGTGTAAACTCCCTCCCCAGATCCTCAAAAGCAGTGGCACAAAACATTGGTTCGGCAGTCAATGTGTGGCTCATTGAACCCTATTCTGTGGGTCTTAACTTTTGTTTCATGGTCCTGAGTTGCACTGTGTACAGCCCAGATATACTGTTTTGTTGCCTATGTTAACTTAAACAGAAGCTTTGCCCCTTCCTATTACTGTTCTGTGGAAAGGGGATGAAGCGAAGCACAAGCAAAATGTACATACAATCCCTTTGTTGATTGAGCAGGGAGTAAATTAACTCAACCAAGAAGGGGCTCATCTCCATTTCAAAAAGCTTCAAAAAGTAGAAGGAATTTCCATGGACCAGCTTTGCATACCATAATAACAGGTGCTTTGAGAACTTAAAATAGTTTGGATGGCATTTCATCCAATCAAAACAGGTTCAGCAGAGGATGTTTTCCCATGGTAATATGTAATGTTCCCTGTTGATTGATAAGATGGGACCAATCTGGAATGATGTATCACAAACTTTCCTATTTCAGTGCATGCAGTCTGTTCTATGATATTGTGATATTAGCCAGGAAAATGAATGAACCTAATTGAAAAGCACATGCAGACTGATAGGACATAATGAGGAATCAAAGGCCAGATTTATTTGATTGTGTATTAACATCTTACTTCACTGTAAGACACTGTACTTGAGGGGTTTTTTTGTGGGGGTCATAACTCCCAAAGTGAGGTGCACATCAAGGTTGGCCCAAGAAACATATCTATCCCAACCAGTAGTAGTGTGCGTGATCCAAGCAGTGTGCCACAAGACCCTCTACAAGGAGCCTTAGAAACACTTTTTAATCACACATTGCTATTCTCACTCCCTAAGCTACCTTTTTGGTGGTTGAATAGTCAGCCCAGTCCTGGTCCAATTCTCACGTTACTATTTTTTAAATAGTCATGGTAAAACCTCATCAGATAGGTATTTTTCTGTCATACAATGAGCTTTCATTCTGGATGCAATTCACAGGAAGACCACTGTAAGCTAATACTGTGTAGAGTATGGGATGCACCAAATCTGCCTTGTGGAGAGGAGCCTTCAGAAAAGACAGTCCATGGCACAGGTACAATGGGGGGAAAGTCACCTTGAAGTAAACATACTGTATTATTTTAAAAGGTCGTTTGTCCCTTCAACAAACTAAAGATGAATCTCTTGGTAGCTGTATTTGCCCTTGGCCACGGAAGGAACCGACCAAATAAATAGTGTAAATGCATCAGATAAGAATCTCCAAGAAAGCAAAGAGAGACACACAGAGAGATTACCTCATTGATCCTCCATACTTTCAGTCAAAGTGAAAGATGTATCAGGTAAACCTTGTGTTCTGGAGGTACTACTAATGGGAAGCTATCCTTCCTTTTGGTCTAATTTAGGCTCTGAGGACTCAGTTCAGTGACCCACTATTTTTTTGCACATAAGGTTGTAGGTTCAGTCTTTGGCCTCCTGCACCTCAGGAAAACAAAAGGCCAAGAAAGACCTCTGCATGACAATATGGAGAATTACTGCCACAGTCAATGTCACCATATTGTCTGAAGATAGCATCATAACTCCGCTATGAGTCGCCCGTAAGGGCTGAGAATGGCGGTCTATAAGCGCCTCAAATAAATAAATAAATAAATAACTCATATTATATCCATTAGCTGAGGTTAAAGAAGAGACCTCTTTTCCTCTGGAAACAATTGGTATCTCCTTAGAATGAACCATGTCACACATTCTAAGAGACATTGGTCATAGTGTTGGGTGAAGAGTGCTAAGGACATGGTTGGAATGGGATTCATGCTGCTGTAGGAAAGAACCACTATATTTAATGTATTTTCCAGACAGTAGCTCTATTAAGTCACCAGAAAGTAAAAGGGTCTCAGCTATGGTTCCCTGGACCATAAGCCTACTGGAGATTTGCCTAGAAAACTTTATGAGAGATGAAGCATGCACTTGTGACTGCTCTCTGACAACTGGTGCAAATTAAGATTGCCTTCTGCATAAAAAGGTGGACAAACACACAAGCACACAGCAGGTCCTTGACCATTCTTTGGCCAGTATTAGCATCTTTTGATGACCATTAGCCAAACTGAACCAACTGTATGTAAGCCAACCTATGTACATCCTGATCAATAGGCACCTATATGTCCCTACTGGATAAGAAAAGACAGCCAGAGGTATAAATGAGTACCATGTGATTAATGTGTGTAAATGTGGACAATTAAGCCAGAGTTATTTGCTGCGCCCTGATGGAACCTCTCTATAATCAAGGGTAGCATACTACCTAGTTTGTATGTAGGGTCAGTATTTTTAAAATAAAAACCATCTAGATTCTGTACTTCTTTTCTGTTGAAAACAAAATTGTTCTCTCCCTGATCCCTTTTCATGATTTGGACTAGTGGGGTTTATGTCTAATGTTTGTACAATTATTTAGATTGCATGGATGTGTAATGTACAAAATCACATTTAATGGATTATGAGCCACTTAATTGTGCTATGAAATCTTGGATTATCTATTATTTCCTTTTAAAAAAACAAAAACAAAACAAAAAGCTGTTCTCTAGCAGGTTTAAGAGAAACAATGTAGACGTGCTTAGGTATTGTTTTCTTTCAATCCAAGAGTCCGCACAGTTTTAAAAGAAACGGTTTTTGATGATCAACAAGAAATGGGGCTGACCATACCTTTTCCTCCTTTATTGTTTCATCTTTTCTCCCCACCCCACCCTCCTTTTTTCCCCCTTTTTTTGGGTCAATATACAAATTGATTCTCATTTTGAAGTTGAGAAAGGGAGGGGAAGGGGAACGAGCGTGGAGAAATGTACTTCAAATGGATGTTGTTCAGAGCGTATTAGAATGCAGGCTCCTTTGTCTATAGACTTTGAAAATGCTCCTCGCGCATTTTATATTTCATTGTATCATATTTTCTATAAAACGCAATTTCTGTAAATTAACGAGCATTTGAAATGTGTCGTGTCTGATAATGGAATGTGGTTTTAAAAAAAGTATTCTGGAGGGAACACTCTGCCTATCTGTTATGATTTTGCTCACAGAGGATGTGATGTTGCTGCCATTTGCATTGGCCACAACCCAGAGAGCTTTTGAGGTGCAGCCAAGGATGTCCACATAGCACCCAGCAATACATTTGAAGTCATTCATTTTGGAACAACCAGACATATCAAAAGGTGCCTTGGAAACAGTTCTCAGTCCAAAACATGGTTTGTCATGCTTTCTACAGGGCGAACCCCATAGCTGGTACATGCCTAAATCCAATTACAATTCCTCACTAGAGTCAATCCAACAAATCACTGAGATTTACATAAATGTTGGCTGGTAATACTATTAAGCAGTTAATTTCGTGACTAGCTTTTGAATTCAAGTCTTGGACTTGGATGTATTGGACCATGGCCTGAAACTCCAATCCACAAACAGCTTAAAGTAGATCACTTAGATTCATAGAATCATAGAGTTGGAAGAGACCAGGGCCAGCCAGTCCAAACCCATTGTGTCATGTAAGAATACACAACTGAAGCACTCACAAGTGATTGCCACCCAGTCTCTGTTGCAAAACCTCCAACGAAGGAGACTATCACACTCTGAAGCAGCATATCCCACTGTCAAACAGCTCTGTCAGGGTGTTCTTCCTAAAGGATGTTCTTTTCATTTTGAATCCATTGCTCAATGTCTTAGTCTCTGAAGCAGCAGAAAATAAGTTTACTCCATCTTTAATAGGACATCCTTTTAAAAATTTAAACATGGCTAATAAGTCACCTCTCAACCTTTTCTCCAGGCAAAACATACTCAGCTTCCCAAGCCACTCCTCACAGCGCATGATTTCCAAACTTTTTAAACTTTTGGACCTATGGCTACATTATACCTTGTCAATTATTTATTTACAGTATTTATATTCTGCCCTTCTCACCCTGCAGGGGACTCGGGGCGGATTACAATGTACATATACAGGCAAACATTCAATACCTTAGACACACAACACATATAGACAGACAGTCAGAGGCTATTTAACGCTCCAACTTTTTCTGTCCACCAGAGGAGCTATCGCTTCACCGTCCATCTGCAAAACTGATTAAGTACTTCCTCATTCCCCACATGCTCACTGGTCTTTATGGCCTCATAAATTAGTTAAATATCAGGCCTAGAGTGAACTTTACCCCTCCACTTTCCACCTTCCAGCTTTAATAAGCCCATTACATCTAATATGTTATAAATGA